AAATGGAATCCAGAAAATAATGGAAAACAGAATTTGGTAAAGATAAAACTGTAAAACTCAATTAATTAGACAGGCTTTTTGATTAATAAAATGTAATTTAACCATTAAAACAGAGCATAGAAAAATTTTAATGGAAAAAAACTGAATTTGGAAATAAAATGGATTTCATAGGGCCCTATAATTATAATAAATTTGTTTGTGGTAATAAAAATAGATGCAAGTTAACAATAGCCTTTAAAATTACTTAAAATACATATATAATAACAATGAGGCAATAATAATTAGTTCAAATAAAGTATCAAAAGCAAGAAATCATATGGTTTTATTGAACAAAACTGTTAAAATACATAATGTATTATAAACAATAGAGCTAATGTACATTACACATTACAACAAAGGCCTGCAGAGGGCGCCAACGGCCTGATGATTATTTTTACACATTGCCGTGCGATCTAATACTTGTTTAATAATGACCAAGCACCATTTAATTCAAATGTCCACTTAATCTTTAATATTTGGCCATTTCTTTAGGACAGAAATGCTATAGCCACTGTAATTAAAAGAATATGTGGACATCAAAACGTGTAAACTCAGAGTGAGGGTTTGAGCTTTTATTTTGAAACCGCGAGATAATGATGTATTCTCTGTGTTTGCGTGGATTTATAAATGATTTACCTTACAAATCTGAGGAAATGGCGCACGTTGAGTTCCCAGATGAACGTTATAATAAAACCAAACTCACAACAACAACATGCAGAGATGGAGTTTGAGGCGCTCCACACACGTAAATAATAACAGTTCCTGTGGAACTACTGTGAACGGAGCCGCTGTGTGACGCACGTACTTAACCTACACGCATGTAAATAATTAAAGCGCATATACTGTATTAGAACTGCATCTTATAATTATTTCATTAAATCGTAGTGTTTGTGAATTCACAATTATGCTTAATTATGATTTTTAAATGGGTTTAATGTATCATGCAGCCTTGGGAAACAGTATAATAATGTGTTTTATGGATTCTCGTCCGTGAAATACGTCACTTCCGGTATTTTGCCGGTTAGTCGACAAGCAAAATGAAGTCGAGGATTTTTAAAAATCGAATAGTCGATTAAAATCAACAAATCGCGACAGCCCTAAAAGATTAATTTACGGAAGGTTCGAGTGGTGTATGTGTGAGAGTAATTGGAAGCAAGCAGAATACAGGTGTTTCTAAAGCAAACTCAGCCTCATCGCGCATCTGGTTAAAAACTAAGCTCAGAATCGATTCTGAAATTCTCCGAATTGATCCAGAATCGTTGGAGAGAGAATCACGATACATCGATGGATCGATTTTTTTCTCCCACCCCTAGTGTTCACGGTGTGTGTGTGTTCACTTCTCACTGCTGTGTGTGTGCATTTGGATGGGTTGAAAAAAAATCTTGAGTATGGGACACCATACTTGGTTACACATCACCTCACTTTTTTGAATATGGTAGCTATTTATACTCACAAAGCCATTTTACATTTATACACTGCTCATATAATATATGTACTAATACTAGATAACTTTTTACACAGCAGTGTACTCTAAAAAGCTTTCAAAATTTCACAGTAATCCTCACCCTCAGAAGGATGCTCAAAGCCACAGTCGACAATCGCGCGGAGAAGCTCTGGTTTCAGGAGGAAATCACGGAAGCCGGAGCTGTGAATGGAGACATAGGAGCCTTTCACCTCCTTCTTGATGGCTGGGACTGCACTGTCCACGGCGGTCTGCGGCTCCTCATCTTCCTCATAGTCCAACAGCTCATTATCAACATCGTTTTCGGCCATGGTAACTTTTGGTGACACAGGGGAACGTAAAGATGTAAATGACAGAGTTATGCAAAAATAGGCGACTTATATATATATATATATATATATATATATATATGTGTGTGTATATATGTGTGTGTGTGTGTGTGTGTGTGTATATATATGTGAGTACGAGTAATAGATAGATAGATCAAAAAGTCCAAAATGCTGCTCAGTGTTAAACTAATAAACAGTCTAAACTAATGAATGGAAATTAAGCAGCATTATCCAAACTCCTCGAAATTATCCTTAAATCATCACTTATATTGCTCTCTTTAAAGTATTCTTTGTTCGTAAATCGTACCTACATGGTGAAAATTATTAAAGGGCAAAACCCTTAAACTCCATAATACAAGTTGCTATAACGTTAAAACCAGCTCCGATTCAGCCAATTGGCTACCGCTCAGCGTGCAGACAATGGAGCCGCAATTCGCTGTCCCATCTAAACCGATCTTCTGATCTAAACGAGCGGTCCAAAGCACATTTTTTCAAAAGTATCTAGAATATCTACGACTATGGGGTCTTGGAATACATGTGGTGTTTGACATACGAGGCTGCACGCAAATCCGGTTCGTTTTCGCATTTAGGCTTTGAGCCTTTCAGGTTGTAACGTTACGGGTAGAGAAACGCGGGGTGTCTACAGCTGTCCGTTTTAAATACTTAGATTTGTTGCTAAAATGGCCTCTAAAATATATTAAATCCGGAAGTGAGTACTATTAACTACCCTGTATTGAACAAATAAGAGTTATTAAAAGTGTAAACAAAACAAATTACCTTCCGATGTTGGTAACTGAACGTCGGCACTTGCGAATCGTGTGGTTAGGCCTTAAGTTTATAGCGCTCCCCGGAAATTAAAATCGAGCTCTCCTATTGGTTGTATTCAACGTCAATAATGGGTGAGAAGCAGCGCATGCTTGCGATTGGGTAACATAAAATCGCGTCGTTGTTGTGGGCGGGTTCAAACGACTGTCGCAAGCCTAAAGTGTCCACACGATGTCAGTATATGCATTCTGATTTTAGGCTTTCAATGAAAAATTTTTTTTGTTTGTTTGTTTGTTTCCTTACATTCTTCCTTAACACAAAATGTATTAACAATAAAAAATGTATTAGTAAAACTATGTCTTCATATCATTTTATATAGAAAATATGCTTTTTACAAAGTAATAATACATTACCAAAATTAATTATTATCTGGTGGTGCCTCATCTACATTGTACAAATTCATGTAGTTTTCTTTTTTTTTCCCCCAAATTTGTGAAGCTGATAATATAATTTTTAATGATAAATGCAAAATGCTGATTTCAGAACAGTATACACCACTATAGGTAGACTAGAACTGTGTAAACTAGATTCACTTGACAAGCTGAAGAGAGCAGGTCATTAATAACCTTAAAATATAAAATGTACTAACTGTCATGAAGCAAAAAATAAATAAAAATAGGCTTGTACCCTTGTAGATTGTTGTTTTTTGGCCACTCTGTATGTTATTTATAATACATTATAGTTGTTATCGTGAAGTAAAGAATAAAGTGGTCCATGGTCAGAGGATAAACAGGATAAAATGTTCTTAACAATTACTCCAATCAACACAGCAACATCACCTGCCCGCTGCCCACTGTGGCTGAGGTTAAGAAAAATAAAGGATTGGTGGACTGAGCTGTCAATCATGACTATTTCTCTAGTTTATCCTCCTATTGGTTGAACTTTTGTCAATCACGAGATCCGCTGACGTTAGAACATTGCACTATGGTTCATTTTGAACGAGGCCGTCAAACTATTGGAAAATAGATGCCAAATACGAATTGATTTTCATCGCGTATTTATTGTAATAACATGGTTTACGATTATTATTTATATCCGAATTTTTTTTATATAAATAACGGTCAATATAGTAGGCGGGACTTGGGCGGGGTTTTGTCTTGTAGGCGTCGACCACAGCTCTCCTTGAGGAAGCTCGCCCTCACGACTCATATTTTCCTTTAAATGAGCATCCACATCCAATATGTCCAATATGGTTCCGTATTCATTTCCCGACTTACCGTAGCGGTCCAACGGCTTCGTACAAAAAGGATTGCCGATATCTGCCGGTTTTGTGACCGATCATCTTTAAAATGGCAAGATCGCAGGGGCAGCTTGAGTAATGAGACCGATATTCAGGTGGGCATTGCTCTATGCATTTTCCATCACTGACAGTGTGTGGTCGCTGGTCAGATATGTGTGCACTCATCCATTTGTGTATAACATTAATTTTAAACCGTTAATCAGGATTAAATGACAGGTAGTCTAGGACAAAGCGGGGAAATTCCAGCGCATCGCACTCATGCTCTCATCTCTCTGGACCAGCGGCGCTGATTTGCCTGCCTGCCCATCTGCGAGCTGCCATGGGGAAAATCATCATCCTCACCCTTAATATTTTACACGGAAACAGATGTTATTATGGCCTAATTTAAGGCACCAAAATACACAGTGCGTTTAAATTCCACTGTGCTTTGAATTCAACGCAGCCTTCCTCCATTGCAAAGCCTTTTGCATTTAATGTCACAACGCTGCACAATCAAAACAGCCATATCACTAAATTCCCCTCCGCAAAAGCAAATGTAATATGTTACTAATAATGGATTCGTTACACCTATAGTAAGAACTGGCATCCCCCTGGTGGTGCATTTGCATGAGGGTTTGCTGAGTCCAGACTACAGGCTTTATTGTAGTAGCCTATATAGAGTGCATCATACTCGCTGAAACAACGGCTGTTGCTTATTTAGGCCTTTTTGGTCTTCTAGCAACCTGAAAGGCCTGTTATGGCTTCGTATTATTTTCTATAACGCGATATTAAAGCTTGAACATGCATCAGACTGTCATGGCTGTTATGCACATTTCCTTCTTGTCATTTGTCACACTGCGTTTTGTTATCATTTTGGACCAGCCAAAGGTAAATATGTCTTGGTGAGCTGTTATGGTCTTTCATTTGGTTTTGTCGTGAAACACAGTTTAAGAGATTAATTATGTGGTTCTTGCCTGCTCTTACTAATGATTAAGGGCAGTCTGATTGCATGTTTTGGTAGGGAGAAGAGTTTGTTTGACTCTGTATTTAATGAATAGACTGTGGTTGTGCTGCCAGCTAAGAAAAAAAGGTATGGGATCTCATGCTGATGTTTTATTTATTCATTTTTCAAATTATTCAGTTTTGCCTAAAAGAAGTGGATATAGTGATCATTCTTTGAAAATTATGTCATTGCAATTGACGATTTGGCTGGTGTTAAATTGGAGCATTGTTGCTTAAAGGGATAGTTAACCCAAAAATTAAAATTCTGTCTTCATTTATGCACTCTCATGTTCCAAACCTGTATGACTTTCTGTCTTCTGTGGAACATGAAAGAACATATATATTGAAGAATATTGGTAACCAAACAGCTTCAGGTCCTATTGGCTTCAGTTATATAGACAAAAAATATAATAGATGTCAAAGCAACCCGAAACCATTTGATTTCCAACATTCTTCAAAATATAATTTTTTATGTTGACGACATGAGGGTGAGTAACAGATGACAGCACTTTTATTTTTGGATGGACTATCCCTTTAACACTTTCACGTGTCCCTTGTTATTGGAATGTGATGTCATACTCCAATCCAGACGTTAACAAGGTCACTAAATCAGTGTGAGCAAAATTTCTTAACCACTGTAACATCAGCCAGGCCTGATGAGGTAATAGTGGCCTCATCATCATTGGGCCTAATATGCCGAAAAAAGGGCTCTATGTTTTTGCATCACTGGATATTACTGTCAGTCATTTAACATTTCTATCCTAAAACATTTGTCACATTAAATGTTTGAATATTTACATCTTACCTCACATTAACTTTTAGAACTGAAGCCTTCCTTTGGAATTCATGCTTGGCTTCTGTAAACAGTAAAGCCCGCCTTCTTTGATTTGATTGGCCATCTCAAGCATTTTGACATTGACGAGCACAGTTAAGAGTATTTGTGGAGACAATCTGGCCATATCTAATTATGTCTATGGTAGTCACAGCCCTGTTCTTCGTACACAATATGTGCTAATCCAGGTGACAGGTTGTATGAACTCTAAAGACATCTGAGAAGATTGTGAGTTGCCTGAGGTTCCAGCTAAACAATTACTATACTGTTTAAGAGTCAGGCTATTGTGGAGATGGTACAGTCAAGAAAAAACAAGAGATTGTCTGGAAATGCATATAATCTCTCCAGGTTCAAGTATTGGCTGGTTAGCATGGTTCGGTTAGCCCATGTTGGTAGATGTCTTTCTTTACTGCACCATTCTGTGGCAAAATAAAAAGTGCCTTTCTGTTTTGGCGGCCATTGAACATCTGTGTATTCTGAGGAAATAGATATTAGATAGTAATATATACATTACAAGTATTTGTATATCTTTGTATTTTTCCCTTTCTGTTGGTGTCTTGCGGCTCCAGAATAATTAGTCCAATGGCATTTTACAGCTTGGGTGATTGCTGCACAATTCTCCAGAATTTGGTGGCCATGAGCAAAGAGGGCAGATTTCTAGTTGCATGCGCCATTTAGGAAATGTGGAAATATTAAGAGATTTCTCCACGTAACTTAAAACTATTTGGATCTCTCACTTTGCAATTATGTAAATAAATAGTGAACAATTTTCACTTTAGGCAGCTGTGACATCAAAATAAACATGATTTACGGGTGTGGTAGATTGGTCATGTGAACTGTGAATGCTAAACCGATAGGGTTGCTGTTGTGTTTTCATCAGGACAAACAAGCCCTTATGTAGTTCACATTCCCAAGAGAGCCAGAGAGAAAGGCATTATCCGCCCTCTGCAACCTCTTGCTGTATCTCTATTTTCCTTTCTGTATCTGTGTTTAAGTGTTCAGGCATTGTCACACTTTCTCTTGGTTTATAGCTGCTGGCTGAGACCACGTCATCAGTTCAAACAGCACACGAATGTGAAGGCTGGGCTAAGTCTGCATGTGTTTTGAACATTTTGTGTGTCCGACAGAGAGATGATGACTTTGCTTCAGAGCAGCTGTGGCTCCTGAGCCGTGACAATCATAACCGGCCTGTACTTACATTTTCCTGTTTCCATCTCTGCTTGGCTGCTGCCGTTTGTTGGGTTTTACTTAGTCATACTAATTTAAATTCACTGCAGCTGCTCTTAGTTCACAGAAGATGTCTTATTCTTTTTCTGCCCTCTAAATTGTTTATTATCTTCATTTTATTTTCTGTGTTATAGCCTAATGTTGTTTTTTTCTGTTATGACTGTGGTTGTCTTCATTGTTGTGGAAGATTTTATTTAGCATGTTTTATCCCCCCAAACCAGATCGGCACAAACCCTGCCCACTGCAGTTCTAAATTTCATTGGTCATTTCAACCACTGTGCTGATTGCCTACATAACGCTGAAAACAAATACAAACCCTTAACCATAAACTGACAAAATGCGCATGACAATCGCATTCGATTAATCGTGCAGCCCTATTCATATAGATTTGGAACAACTTGAGTGTGAGTAAATGATGACAGAATATAAATTTTTGGGTGAACTATCTATTTAACCTTAGTATAGCATTGGTAACACATCCTGATAGATAGCATTACTGTTTGTCGTGATCAAATCCATCCATTTGAAATTTTATTTGAAAATGTCACTGTTTCACACGCTGAAAACAAATACAAACCCTTAACCATAAACTTAAAGGGATGGTTCACCCAAAAATGAAAATTCTGTCATCATTTACTTATACTCCACTTGACGGTAGCCATTGACTTTCATAGTATGGAAAAAGATACTATGCAATTCAATGGCTACCGTTGACTGTGAACACCAGCATTTTTCAACATATCATGTTTTGTGCTCAACAGAAAAAAGAAATTCATATATAGGGCTGCACGATAAATCGAAATGGAATCGAGATCGCGATTCGACACAAGCGGTCAGTCACGTGTGTGTAGGATGGCCAAACTTAAGGAGCTTCCTCTGGAACTTACACGATCGGCAACCGGACGTTTTTTTGTCTTATTACAAGCAACTCGTCTCTGTTCTGGACTTGCACAAACTGCGTTGCAATGCAATCGTTTTCCAAAATGTCCTTTATGTGAAAATATGAAGTCTGTAAATGCCCGTTAACACAGGCCAGAGACGTTGAAGATGGATGCAAAGAGAAAAATACTGTAGCAGGCAGATCACTCACTGTTCATGATGCACGGAATATTGGAAGAAAATCATCAATATTGATTTTGGGGGTTTATATGAATGTGTTTCTGAGGGGAACTGACTGTCTTCAGAAAAGTTTACGTGGTATTTTCTTTTCATCTGGTCTCTGTATAGTTCGTATTAAAGCAGTGTTTGAGAGCAGCTGCTTTGTTTACAGCGGTAACCAAGGAAACGCTGTGTCTGGTGTTCCATGAGCGCCTCCTGCTGTCAGAGAGTGAATATGATTCTCATTCAGAGCTTCTGCTGTTTGCTTCGTTCAGGCATGTAGTATAATTTCACAAAGCTAGTCAGAACTTTCTGTTTTTGCTTCAAATTAGAGGTCTTCGCGGGACTGTTTTTTTAGTCCCGCTCCCGCTAGGTTCTATTCCGCACCCACCCGCTCCCGCTTAGACTTGTGCTGGTATTCGGTAATGCGATATATTACGGTAATGAATATGCACGATATTGTTATCGTGGGCACTTCTAAATACCGTGAATAATTATATATTACAAATTATTCAGAATTTTGAATGCATTTTAAGAATACTTTTTCCATCAACTGGTCAAAATGCACAACACCGCTGTATGCTGTGTGAAAGACCGTGCGCACTCTGATGTAAATAAGCGCGGACTAGAAGCACATGCCGGAACATGTGAGAGACGCTCTGGATGAAAGCGCACTTTCACTCTCTGACAGCAGATGGCGCTAAACTGCAGAAATAATATTATTATTATTATTATTATTATTATTATTATTAATTCATTTAAATGCAGTCTATTACAGCACTTTTTTTTAAACTAAATTTCAATATTGTGATAATACCGTATACCGTGACAAAAGCATTAGCAATTAATCGCAACATGAAAATTTGATACCGGCATATCCCTAGTTGGCAGTTGGAGCTCAAGTGCTCGTCAATCTTTAGCTCCGCCCACGGCACCCCTCCAGGAGCTCGGCTGTTT